TAGCAAAAAAAAAAGAAGAAAAAAGAAAAATGGAGGCCTTGTGGTAACAATTGTGATTTGTTTTTGGTTTGATTAGGATTATAATGTTAGGATACTACTATATCGCACCCCATACCTGGTGGATATGGTGAAGGAAAAGGAGGGCGTAGTTCTAAAGCTGGACTCCATTAGGGGTGGAGATGCATGGAGAGGGATGGACCTTCTAATTTTCAACTCTTGGCATTGGTGGACCCATACTGGAAGATCCCAGCCGTAAATTCTCCAATTTCATAAATTTTTTATGATTGAAATTTTTATGGTCAATTTATATTTTAGGCTGTATTAATTGATTTCAGTGCCCTATGATCTAACGCAGATGGGATTACATACAAGATGGCGTCAAAGTTCAGAAAGATATGAACCGTCTGATTGCTTACTACATAGGGATGACAACATGGGCCAGATGGGTCGACCGGAACGTCGATCCTTCCAAAACTAAAGTCATCTTCCAAGGAATTTCCCCTACTCACTACTTGTAAGCAATTTCTCTGTTCCCAATTCCTCACCTAATTTGAGATTAGTTTATTGCAATTTCCCTCCAATTTCATTGTAAAATCCAAGTACGCAAATTATGCATATATATCAAAACCAAAAGGCTCGTAGATAAACATTATGGTTGTTTGTAGAAGAACTAAATATATTTAGTTTGACAAGATTTTAGCATTCCATTTTTTTCAAGTCCAAATGCTACTACGAAATCACCACTAACAAGTAGCAATACCTATTTTTTTCCTCCCCGTTGTAAAGTTTAGAGTCTTTTCTTGAACAAATTAGAAAAAAAAAAGTTGCAATATCTATTTTTCGTGAAACATTATTCTTCAAGAGTTAACCCTTTGAAGTTATGTTTAAAAATGAATTAATTTTATACACACTGATACAGTAAATATAGTATCGCCGTTAGATACTTAACAATTAATCTAAATTTAAATTTTATATAATTATCAAGCATCTAACCATGATAGTGTATATACACTGTCATATCCCCGTTAGATGCTTAACAATTAATCTAAATTTAAATTTTATATAATTATCAAGCATCTAACCACCTAACAGTGTATGTACATTGTCAGTATACATAAATAAGATTAACTCGTTAGAACTTTGCCTTTGAACTAGTCTACAGAACCTTAGCGGTTGTTAATCTTTGCAATTGAATTCAGGGGCAGGGAATGGAATGCACCGTCAAGATCCTGTGCTGGCGAGACACAGCCATACTTTGGTGCAAGGTATCCGGCAGGCACACCATTGGCTTCAATAGTTCTGAACAAAGTTCTGAGCAGAATCAAGAATCCTGTTTATTTATTGGACATCACAACACTTTCACAATATCGCAAGGATGCACATCCAACATACTACAGTGAGCACAGTGGCCTGGATTGCAGCCATTGGTGTCTGCCTGGATTGCCTGATACTTGGAATGAACTTCTTTATGCAGCTCTTTTTGGTTGATGGGGAAGATACAGAAAAAAGGGGTAGCAGGAATGAACTCTGACTGATACTTAGTTCATCAACAGAAAGAAATGTCCATTGTTTAAGGGTAGAAATTGGCTCTATTCTATTTATCTCGTGCAATGCAAGGGAATAATTTGATCACTGTTTGATTGTTTCAATTGTAAAGTGGAGACTACGGGGGCTTTTGGCATGAGAGGATGCCTGATTAAGAAGTTGTTCTCATTTTTTGAGAATTATTAATGTTATTGGATTATTTTCAGGCCAATTTCAGGCAACTATAGCATTCTCTTGTGTCAGAATTGCTTCATCTTTTTGTTCTGTTAATGTGGTTAAAATTCTACCATTCATCGATATCGCCTTTTAAACTGGAAGTTTTGCAATACAGGGGCTTTGACAAGTCATTCTTTAGTACTCGAACGTTAACCTTAAATTTGAAGCTGTTTTGGCACTTCAGTTGGAAATGCATATTTTCAAACTGCCAAATTTCATCAATTCAACATACTGATTATTACTTCAGTCCCTCGAAAGAATACCAGTCTCTCTTTGGGGACTTCCATTAGTCTACAGCACTAGACTACGGGCTGATTGGCAACTGCTTTGCGACTTGAATTATAAACGCATTAGCACTTTGGGCTAGTTCAATGAAACAAGTGGACAACAAGCCTCATGGCATCTAGGAGGATCAAAGTGGATTTGATTAAACCACAATTGAAACACCGTCCATGTCTAGTTGGATCCAGGTCAGTGAGTGGAAACCAGATTTTGACTTGGAAATGGTTCTAATACTTATAGTTACATTTACTAAATTCTGTAATCACCTTTTCTGCTGCCTGCCTGCGTATAGGAAAGATCGTGTATTTACATCCCGTTGTTGATGTAAGAATTGTATTAATAAACAATTTGTAAGAATTTCTGTAAAACGATGTATGATTACAGGGGTACGCCGTGACTCATGATGATGACTCGAAATAATTCATCCCAAACGTTTTTGTACCAAAAAATTGTAGGAAATCATCAATAGTATGTTCCTGCTGAATGCTGGCACTTGGGCTTTCCTTTGTGATATTAAACAAAACAGCACTATCGATTTCTCGGTCCGTTTTGGTATACATGTTGACCCATATTCATATTTGCCCCAATTAATCATTTTCATGCAGTCATATTTACATAAATTTGAACTTGGAAATGTTTACATATACATCTTCATTTTTCTAAATTCCAATTATCCACACAATTTTTCAAAAAGCATTGCCGATTCGTTGTATCATTCCTGCTGAAAAAAAACACGTGTACATCTTTGCTTGACTCGATTGCTGACTCACACAGGCCACCACCCCACAACACCACTACATTGCATGAGCTTTGCCCACCTGTCATTTCCTCTTCTTACATCGATCTCCTTGGAAACCGCCATCACCTCTGGGCCTCAGTTTTTATAACCATTTTCCAAACTTCCTGATGTCTCGAATTCTCACACAGAGTCACATTGCATAGGATACATCCTAGTACTGCATTTTTTTACTACATAAAATCCATTTGTGTTCCAAAAGAAATTTCCAAAGATATCTATCATCTTTTGATCAAGAATTGACAATGTCGTCAGAGCAAATGAGAAGGGAAGATGTTACGGATGAGCGAGCAGTCGATGCAGAGAAAGACAGGGTCCCAAAAATGGCTACCCATTTTGAGTCTCTGGCTGTGAAAGCCGGTGGAGGCACAGATGAAGAAAGGGGTGAAGGGATAGAAAGGAAGAAGGGCGAAGAGGAAGGTAAAGAGAAAGAAATGCCTTCCTTGGAGGAGATAACCGAGTATAGGCAACAGGCGCAGCAGAATTCCATGGAGGCCATCAGGGCTGCCGAGGAGCGTTCGCGGCAGGCAAAGGAAGCGGCATGTCAGAAACCTGGTGCAACATCTGAGTATGCCGCTGAGAAGGCAGGGCAAGCCAAGGAAACAGCGAAGCAAGGAGTTCAAACTGGATCCCAATATGCTGCAGAAAAGGCAGGCCAAGCCCAGGAATCTGTCAAGCAAGGTGTTGAAAGTGGAACTCAAGTTGCTAGTGAGAAGGCTAAAGCCTTGAAGGACGCCGCTGTTGAAAAGGGTCAAGAGGCCAAGGATGTTACAGTGGAAAAGGCGGTCCAGGCTAAGGATGCTACAGTGGATGCAACCAAGAAGGCGGCTGGTTATGTTGGAGAACAAACAGCGGTTGTTAAGGATATTACAGTGGAAAGCGGCAAAACTGCAGTAGGATACATGGGAAAGGTGGCCGGGGAAGCCACAGACATGGCGGCCGTGGCTGGCTGGGGTGCGGCACATTACACGGCAGAAAAGGCTGCTCAGGGTACTAAAGTAATGGCTGATGTAGCTGGGGTGGCCAAGGATAAGGTGGCGGGTGCAGGACAGACAGTTGTCGGGTATACTGAGAGTAAATTGGCTGCTGCTAAAGATGCTGTAGTCGCAACTGAAGAAAGTGCTGCCGAGCATGCAGCTAGGAAGAAGGCTGAGGCTCAGAGAGAATTAGAGGAGAAGAAATCAACTCCAGTTAAGGTAAATCAGTGAGTCATAATTTTCATTATTCGCACATCGGACTGATTATGATTTTTTACCATGAAGATACGAGTAATTGATTTGTTTGCACCACTTATTTATGATGCTCACAGGACAAAAGGTAAAGCAAATATCTGGCTGAAGAATTGTGCTTATGAATCACTAATAAAAAACAAATTTTTACATTTGAGGTATCACCTATCAAGTATCAAAGTATTTTCTAGGCGATTTTGCATCTTGCATTGTCCTAGAAAATTGCAAAAGCTGTGGAAATTGTGTTATACTCCGTGCCTTTTTTCTCTTTGGCTGGCTTTTGGTGATTGATTTTTGACCCTGAAACATATGTAGGAAGGTGGATTCATCACCAAGGAAAATCAATACGAGGAAGAGGGAGGAGAAGCCAAACCAACAGAAAAGGAGTTTATCCAAGAAGAAACGAGACAAGAAGGACAGGGCGGTGGAGTGCTGCATGCAGTTGGCGAAACTTTAGCAGAAATTGGTCAAACGACGAAAGATCTTCTTACCGGACAGGGCCTGCCTGGTCAGACTCACACCTTCGATAAAGATGAATCACACAAAGAAGAGCAAAAAGGGCAATCTTGACTGAAATTGATTTAGTGCTTCGCATATATTATCATGTTGCTGTTGTGTATGAAAGGCCTTCCAATGATGCTGTTTTTTTTCTTTTCATCATGTTTGCTTATGTAGTTATGTTTTGTGGCGAAGGAAATTTGGGTGCAGTTCAGATGTTCAATTCTGTTAACTATTGTATGTAATCCTCTTTGATGCGTGGTTTCTTATGTTCAAGAATCTCATAAGGTTCAGTGCAGTTCATATGTTCGAAAATCCTTCTTTCTACTTTCAAATGTTGTCTCCTCTCTCTTCATGGGGGGAAGGAATCAAAGGGGAGACTTTAAAGAGTATTTTCCCCAGCAAAAAAGCAAAGAAATTGATAAGCATGAGATAGAAGGATCAGAAATAGCAACTAGGATGAAGTAAATGATTCAATAACAACAAGAGATGCAGAGGAAGATAAAACAGAGTCTACAATTTACTTTAAATTTCCTAACAAAGATGTGAAAAAGAAGAAGTTACAAAAAGAGGGAGAAGAATTAATCTAGCAGGGAATCTGAGAGGTGAACCACTCCATAACGTGGATGGGGGCTTTGATCAATTGCAGGGCCATCTCCACTAGCACAGTCACGCACAGGCAACATGGGCATATGATGCTCAACAGTATACTACACCAATCAATAAAATTCAAGAAAGGGAGAGGAGAAAAAAGGAGAGAATCAAAACATGATTGACAAAATAAAGTCAAGAAAACAACGCAGCAGCAGTGAAATTTGCAAAGAAAAATGGAAGAAAATGAGTCAAATGTCAGTACCCGACAATCCAAATGATGATGCCCACAAGAGAGACGAGGAGAGCAAGAAAGGCGAAGGGCAGGCTTAATAGGAAGGCCAAAGGCCTACAATCTCCATCTCCACAGCACATTTCTTTGTGATGTTTTCTTCAGTCCTTGATGATCTGGGATTTTTCTTTGGATGTTGAATTCTTGATTCTTGTGAGATTTATGCCTCCCAAAGCCAAAGGTCGGTCCCCTCTAGAAAACTCTCTTTATCTTTTCTTCTTTGAGCATGGGAATAATAGGACACGTAGCTATAAAGTGTCATCCTATACTAAACATAGTAAGCAATCAGGTGGTGATAATTGATGGGTTTAATGCAATTTTCAATACGTAATCTCATGAAGAGGATTTGTTGGGGGACACGTGAATCAAGAATTAGGTTCGAGATGCTAATTTCTTCGTAAGCAAGAGATTTACTTTCCAGATTGACAAGCATAATGTGACGTAGACGCACTCAGGTGTCTCTTCCTTCTTTGCTGGAAAAACAAATAGAGAAAAGTTTTCCTTTTCACTTCCTTAAGACTTTTTTGTGGAATAATTCCTGTCCATCTTTTGTTCTGGAGATGAAAGTGTTGAGATAACAGCAGTAATAGTTATGTCACACAAAATTTACACATCAATTGCTAACTTCAGCTAAGAGGTATATCATCGCACGAGTACTATAGAGCGAATTGTAGCTCCGAAGTATCTTCCATCCCTGACGTAAAAGAACCCCCCAAGAGAAGGGAACCTGCAAGGATGTCTTTGATTTGAGTTGTGCTGGTGCTATCATGGGAATCCTGGACCAGGAATTATAAAACACTAAGAAGCTAAGTTAATTCATCACAACCAGACCAATGACCTTGCAGGGCAGCTTTCCTAGAGAAGATTGATAATCACCATCCAGTTAGAAGGGCAATGGAAGTTTTTGCTGTTCCACTTGAGGTTTGACATTCATGAAGTTAGATTATATACAGCTTCTTAACGTAAGATTCATCCACGAGACGCGTCCATCTTTGAGTTTTCTTGTTCCATAGAAATTATGCATGCTAACCTATCGTAAACCTGCAGGCGGTTTCGATTAACAAACTTAGAAAGGTGATAGCATATGCTTCAAATAGATGCATTTTCAGTTTCCTGATAAAGATTGAAGCTTCAAATTAAATACCTCAGAAAGCCCGTCTTTCCCATGTCCTTGTCTTGAAAATGAAGGATCATACCTGTACAGCAAGTAAAATTATTTGTTCTGCTTCCCATTAAGTTAATTGGATTCAATGAAGGGAAATTTTCCCACACTTACCAATCTCGAGGAATTCCAACTTCATCTCGAGCTGAATAATTGAAGGGTCCTTTTATCTCCACATTGTACTCTTTGAGCAAGACTGCCACATAAGTAACACAATATTTAGAGAAAGACTTGCAACAGGTCTGCTTAAATTAAGTGTAACTGTGTTAGACCTTTAAAAGTAGAGCAAGGCGCACGGCCCATTTTCTGGCAAACTGAAAGAAACCAATAAAGACCAACTGCAACATGCGCAAGTTCTTCATCGGCAATCTTAGCCACAATATTTGAAGTCCTAAGATCACCAAATCCAACCATTTTCTGCACAAGCCGAGGCCCAGCATCAAGTCCTCTGGCCTCCTAGAACATCAGAACAGAAGATGTGAACCATTCGTTATCCTAACTGCATATCTAACTGGGAAAATTTCTCTTCGTTGGAATCAATATGGAATCATGCCATGTGGAACTAGTCCTATTTAAGTCAATCAGCTTGCTCTTTTTGTTTCAACCGTCAATTTAGAAATCCGCAAAAAAAAAAGGGTAGGGTATTGCTACTCCATCGCAATTCATCTCTACCAGACTGCTGAGTCGGGAGCAGTTTGGGATTAAATAGTAGCTCTTTCAGGGGCCCTAGTGCTCTTCTAATAGTTGAGTGGACCTAGGGCAATAATATGCAGCTAGTTTCACAGCCACCTAAGGCTTCTGTTGGGGAAGGGAAACTTCTCTGGTAAGGACACAAAGACCATATTAGATAGCCTTTTTGTGTTAGGAACCCGACAACTTTCTTACAGTTAGGCAGCATTAAACATGTCTTGGCATTTAATATTATCCAGTATGAGACTTTCTTCATAGAACACTCTGAAAGAAGAGAAATACATTCAGGTACAGCTGTTATGGACATCGGAAATAATTTTGGAAAATCATAATCCCATAAGCATCTGAATTTGAAATGATACTAAAGATGCAAAAGATACATCCAACAGAGTACCTGGACAAGTGGAATTGCAGCCAGACGTGCAGCAACATTATCTGATGTTTTATCACACTCCCTCCAGAGCAAATTATGAGCTGGCATATCCCCATAGCTGCTCGGGGCGAAAAAAAAAAAAAGAAAAGAAGAAGAAGAAGAACGATAGAGGCTGTTAGTCACTATATGAACAAAGACAATTATCACAAAAAACAAAAATACCATACCAACCTAAATCCAAGCTCTTCTAATCTCTGTAAACACCAAGCAAAATGTCGACTTTCATCATCAGCCACATGAGCAAAGTCAGCAAAAAATCCCTCTCCAAGATGCTCACAATGAGGAGAAAAGCGAACAACGGTGTCCCAAGCCAAATCAATCGCATTTAGCTCCACGTGAGCTAGATTATGCAGCATATATGCATTAAGAGGCAAACCAGAGTGTTTTGGGGATGGAATCTCCTTTGGAGATACCTGCATTTTCATACAGTAAACCAGTCCTAAGAGCAGCCAGTGTACTCAGCTTGTCACACTAATAAACAGTATAGTTACTAAATTAAAACAAACCCAAAGAGAGTGGTGTCAATTATTAACAGCGAGAGCATTTCATGCAGCTCCCATAATAATATTGTTTTGTTTCAACATTTACATTGCCAATTCTCTACGAGGAAACTAAGCTTCAATAAAGACAATTCCTAAACTCTCCAGCATACCAAATTCACCAAACACATGGATTACCATCTAAGCACAAGCACAAACTCCAACTCCAATCCCACCAATTCAATCAAGAACATGACTATCATACACAAACATATCTGCTTTTCCTCACATTAACTCTTAAACTCCAACAAAAAGATCAAATTTTTAATGTCTCCGTAACCAAAATGGCCAAAAGGACTCTCAGAAAACAAACCAGTTGCGGATTCTGGGGACGAGCAGGCTTAGAGGGTGCCTCACAGACTCCAACAGGAAGGCTCTCCTGGCACCATCTGGAGTAAGCCAAGTGGGAAAGCTTTGATTTTTGAAGAGGGTCAGCTGTAGATAGCACCACAGCCCCCATCTCTGCTAAAGAAGAGCAACAGCCCCAGTCAATTGAACATAAAATTGAACCACTGTCGCCGGTTTCTCCAGAATTCGAGAATGATGGTTGTATCGGGGATGTTTGTGGGCCATTGGCTCCCCAGAAACGGTTGCGATTAAGAGGGCTACTTCTCCAGTTGTTAAGACCGGACCAGTGTACTATTTGTGCAGGCGTTTCTTCTTGTTTGGGATATTTTACAGCAGAAGCAGAAAAAGGCTTTCTTGGATTAAAAGGGTTGTGTGTTGGGAAAGTGTTTGACCAAAATGTGCATTTTAAAGTAGTGGAGAGCATGGTTCTATGTTTTAGCGGATGCATTTCCTTCAAATAAGGCAGTGAGGACTGAGGAGGGTACTGGGAGGGAATAGTGGGCAAGCGCTGTTACAGGATGCAATTTGCGGGCCATGACGAAGATCAACCGGCAAGGTGCGCGCAGAATAAGAGGAACAGCAATTCAAAAAAATTGCGAGCCATGGGTTGGTGTAATCAAGAAATGGGGAAATTCAAGTCACCTCGCCGCAACTCAGAGATCGATCTTGGAGGCATATTCATGTCTAAGCTAATTCTCGTAATTACACCCCATGACATAGTTTATGCATTGTATATATTGCATGATGATTGATAATACAATACGATTGATACAATACTTGTGAATGTTGAATAATGATTTAGATTATGAAACATGACGTACTAAGTTTGAGTAATGAATTATAATACGAAATACTATGTACCAAGAGATATGTTTATATATGTTAAGTCGCTTTTTCTAGCAATACTCGTGATTATTACTACTTGACAAATTGGTATGGTACTAAGTTTTATTTCAATTAAAGAAGTTTTAAGTGTTATGGTAGGTGTAAATAATATTGCAAATACCACATAATGAGCAGCGATAAACTAAGCTCTAGGGACACAAACAGCTGGAGAATTCAAGGTGGAAACGCAGGATAGCTTGTTGCAACGTCCACCATTCTGGATTTGGGGGCTTTCCATTCTTTTCCCACACAACGGAGGGGATGAGGGACTGACAGATGGGGTTTAAGGAAGCAAACCAGGAATATCATGAACAAAACTTTAAGGATTACCCTTAGTTTTGGTACCACTCAATCTAGGGAACGCCAAAATTTAGATTGGAGTTAGCAAGAAACGAGCTATTATAGGAGTATTGATAGTAAAAGCAGTAAAGCTAAGGGCAATATGAAATTAACTTATCAAGAAAGATCCAAGACCAAGAACAAGACTTTACACAAAGAATGCCTCTTAGGTCAACGACAGCATACCACTATTACTAATACATACATACAATTGCATTTAACTGCGAAATATTTTATCCAACGCTGCTGTAAACCACCAGACAAATTCACAGAACACTGGCCAGCAGTAGTTAGCTATGTACAAAAGCTACAACAATGTACAATAAAGAAGCATCTGCATCATTCTCCAGGTTGTCCAGAAACATCTGTTGCTAAAACCATCACCTAAAACAGCTTACTGTCGATGGAGACCATTGTTTCAAGAGAAGATCGATATGCAGTCAAGCTCGGCCACAGGTTTGTAACAATAAATCTAGGCAAGATGGTAGAAACATGAATATTAGACTTGAGCACGATTCTTCGTTAAAACAAAATGAGACCTGAAAAGGAATAGCAGCATCAATCAGGCCACAATCCTGTTGGAATTATTGAAGACAAAAACGAGCCAAACTTCAAATTAACATTCAGGCATTCGCCATAACCATGACAATCAAAACAGAAAGAGAAACAATAAAAAAGAAAAGTGTGTGCTTTGTGTGTGTGAGAGAGAGACAGAGAGGACCAAATTACTCGACCTACAGGTATTACGTTCTAACTGCACTACTTTCACCTAAGATGACTTTTGCGAAAGTAGGCATTACAAACATGGAAACTAATGTAGTATAGATAATTCCTAACAGTAGGTACAAGTTCTTACCAACACTCTAGTACAGAAAGAATAAGAAAAAGCTGAATGCTTGATAGCTTGATAATAGAGTGTTTCCTACACCTGTTAGATCTGATGCTCATAAATATCACTGCACCTTGATCACTGGTTTAGTTCACAAGCTCGTGCTATCTTAAAGCTAAAGGAGAGCACTCAAATAAGCGCTTGCAGCCACATGGTGTATATGTTGATTAAACATTTGGGATTCTTTGAGCGCTTATGGAAGATACTAAGATAGAAAGATGATATATACCGAAAATGCTGATCGACCATTATAAAGCTCAAGGAACAACGGACTTATGTTGATCTCTACAGCCTCCATAACTAACTTCCCAGTTTAAAAAATGTAAAAGAAGTGCCACAGTGTTGGAGCCAACAAAGGAAGTAAATTTAATAAAGCTTCCATCATTATACCACAAACCTACATATCTATATTTAGCTGAACTCTAGTTTGTTACACTTGCATTCATGCTTAAGTTTTGCATATTCCTACCTTTCCCTCTTTTCATTTAACTAGTTAAGGAAAGTCATTTCACACGTAAAGTCATGCAGACTGTTTAACAATGACCAGCACTTCCTCTTAAAGCAAAAACTGTACAAGTCACAATAATTTGTTTGATAAGTCATATCTCACACTTGTGTTAATATCCACTCACAAAGAATTTAATGAAATCTCTATCCTCTTCCCTCAATCTTTGACAGCTTTACAGGCACTCCAGAATTATCAACATTTGGGGAGTGTCAACAGCAGCTTCTAAAGCATAAACAAGATACTGCAGTATTATTGTCTAGGAAAATGCCACTTTCAAATTGTAGATAGACAAATTCGATGCGCTCAATATATGCTCCGAAAAAAAAAAAAGTTTAACTACCATGCATTGCTGAATAGAGCAAAAGAGCACAATCATCTTTTCTCATGATCTACAAACTTCCCAGTAATTTGGAAATTATAAAGCAATTAAGACATTTATTGTTTACAAGTGCACTTTTTACATGCTTAACTATCATATCTAGATCTTAATGAGCATTCTTAAGTTTTAAGTTAAACTCAAGTAAAGCCAGCAACCATAAAAGTGAACAACACGCAAAATTCACAAAGAGAATTAGAAACATTAAAGAAAAGGCTAACATAAACAACAACAGGTTCGTGCTTCGATAAATAACAGAAAATTAATTAAATATGAGCAAGGAAACAAGAGAAATCAATAAAAGCAGATTCAATTCCACGATCCATGAAATGACAAATAAATAAATCCACAAAGAAACTTATCTTACATTGACAAGTAACTCTAATTCCTAGTTCAATGTCATGCATCGGATCCATCTGAAGCACTTCCACTATCAGAGTCTGCCAAAAAATGTAAAGTGAGAAGACAATTCAGTAACATTCTCTCACTTTGGAGATAAGTTTGTAATCATGAATCTCCAGACAGAAAATACAAAGTAAGAATTAGCAATACCCCCTGAGGAAGATCCCGAGTCCGCGTTCGAGCCGCTTGAGTTAGTTGATCGACTTGCATTATCTCTCTTCTTTTCCACTTCAGTTTGAGATGAATAATTTTTCTTAGCTTCTGTTCAGAAAACACATTTAACTTCACTATGTTTGAAAACCAAGTTTGCCGTTATTTCAAGAGCAAAGGAGACTTGAGCTCAGATAGCTTACCCATCTTCCTTTCTTTCAGAGTTTCTGCTGCAGCTGGGGCAAGGTCCTGCAGAAAACGGAAGCTAAGTGCCTATAACCACCGAAATTAACAACAGAAAGGCATCAAATAGAAATTTCAATAGCTTACCTTTTCTGGAACACTCCGGGCTGCTTCTCCCTTTCCTTGATTGGCAAGCTCAGCTTTTCGTTTGTTCTTGCTCAGACTCTTCTTGAAGTTTGTTACAAATCTATCCAGCTCCCAAAGAGTTTCAGTATCAACACTGTCAATGTCAACTTCAATCTCATCCTCATTTTGGCACAGAGAAGGGTTCCTCTTCTTTATAATCTGCACAACATTTTCAAGCTTTTCAGAAGGCAAACTCTGCAAATTTGTGCTAAGTTTTTGTTTTTCGTCGTATGTCATTTCCCTTTTATTGGGCTCTTTTGCCTTTGGCTTTTTTGGGGCTGCAGTTCTCCCTGAACCAGCAGAAATCATGGTTTTGGTTTTGGGATCAACAGGATTGCTAATAAACTTTGACCTGCTTAAAGTCCTCATTTCAGGAGGTTCCATTACTGCTGGAGGAGCTTTCTTAGATTTAGGAGTCGGTAAACCCACTTCAGAATCCGGGCCATGCATCATCTCATGCATATATTCCGCCTCAATAGCAGCCCATTTGTCCTGAAAATTCTTTAATAGCTCCTCAGCCATCACGTGAACATCTTGCCCCTTAGGGTTATATGTCATAGCATTTTGAAATGTAAGTCTCACATCCTCTGCAAACTCCTTAGGAGATTTATACCCGTTATTGCTAAGCCTAGCTTTTACAGTACCCAAATCCATTGGATTCTTAATAATGTCAAAGTAATCGTGCAAACCAAGATGCACAGTATCAACAGGTTTGTTGAACACCCATCCATGCTTATGCTTCATCAATCGATCAAGCAAAGAGCTACAATTCTTCAACATTTGATTAGAAAACTTCCCTGAAACAAACCCATGTCCTGATTCACCCCCTCCAGCTTTCTTCCCAGCACCAGATTTAGACTTCTTGTTGCCTTCTGCAGAAGGAAACTTATCCTTTGCAAGCAAAAAGTCTGTATTCTTGTAGAATTTATTTGCCTTGGGCGTCCGTTTCTCTTTATCCCCATTGTCATTGCTGTTCTCCACCACTGATACGCTCAACTGATGCAAAGGCTTGGAAATGCGAGGCGTTCCAACAGAATCCACCTCGGAATGGACCCGTTTCAACTTCCCACCATTATCAACACCACGTCCAGCTTTACTGCTCTTTTTCCCCTCCTGCCCTTCAATCTTTTTCACCAATCTCCTAATCTCGTCCAACTCGCTCTCGAGCCTTTTCCTCAGCTCCCGTGCCTCCCTTTTCGACTTCATCGCCAAATTGATGGTGACCTTATTTTCTTGCCTCAGAAACCCACCTTTCCCCACCCCATTTCTCCCAGACACTTCACGATCTCCCAGTGGACGACTCGATGAGTCACCGGACGCCACACCAAACACAGGTTCTTCCAACAGATTCCCATCTTCACTCCCAAGTTTCCCAGTTTGACTTTGCCCCAGCTGGGCACCATAACTGTTGTTCTTGTCACTACTATCCTTTAACCCTTTGACAGACTTCCTTTTATACACCTTGCTCTCTTCAGCCCACCTCTGCTTCTCTTTAGACCCTTCTTTTTCTCCGTCTCCACCACCAACTGTTGTTCCAGAAGCCATTTATCCACCTCCCAAAACCCTAGAAATTTAATCTTTTTCAACTAATCTACATACAAAAAGCACATGCATAAACACAACTCACACACATAAATCCCAAGCTTCACTTTCTTCACCGGGAAAAATTCAATCTTTTACCTCGAAATTAGCTGCTGCATGCATAAACACAAAAGCCCACAATTTTACAAGAAACCCTATTTCTATACTTTGGTTCTCTACAATCTTAAAATACAATTAACCCCATTTCACAAGAACCCAAATTCTATATTTTTGGGTCCTCTACACTGCTAAAGTTAAATTAAACCCTTTTACACATACACATAAACAATAACTACAGGGAAATCCTTGAGGGGTTTTCCCAAAAGTTAAATTAGGAACAGAAGCCATACCTTTTTCTCGAGATCTCTCTCTTTCACACACTATCACACACAGCTTGAGTATGAATCCTCACACTCTTTCCTAACTATGATCCTGGGGAAGAAATCTGGGGTGAGTTGAGAAAGAAGAAGCCAAGAAGGACAGTGAGAGAGCTGGGTGAGGGGAGTGGACGAGGAATTTCACGCGCTGATGAGGAGCGTGATATTTAAACGCTCATCTAACGGTTGGGAGTTCTGCTGCGGTACAACGGGGTGAGAATTTGACGGTTGAGATTGTTAGATGATGGGTCCAGTAAGGAATGGGGTGGGAAGATTTTTGGTTGACCAACGCGTCCATGGTGGCGCGTTGATAACAGATGAGAATTGTAGGTTGCTTTTTGTTTTGTGGTCCTATCCAAGTTGGGAGCCACTTACAGGGAATAGTAACTGGGCTGGGCCTAGCCCATATTGATTTCATTTTTTCTTTTTTTTTTGGGTCAGATAATTTCTCAGCAATATTTTGCAGGTAGATATGCACAAACAAACTTGATACTTGTTGGTTTAAACATTTGCATGGTTGAACAATAATTGCACAAATAGGTAATACCACATTACACTTTTTTTTTTCTTTTTTATGTTTAGCTGGTAAGGGATGAAATTTAAGATACGCAAATTTAAATCTAGCGCCGCTAAGTTCGTATTGAGTAAAGATCACTCTCATTTATAAATTCATATTACACTTATTTTCTCCCTTTATCAATTCATCCCATTTTAAGAGAAGACCAAAAGTAGTGCAAATATGTTGCTTAAACATCAATGCCAAATTGTTTGGGACATTGTATATGACTTATAGTCACATGGATCATTGTTATCTTTAGAATGGTGCTTCACCTTTGTTTTTCTTTTTTTCAATTTTATTCTATCTGTTGTACTGTATGTGTGTCATACATGAATAATTTCCCAACTAAACCTTTTGATAAAGTATTGATCCATGCCTAGCATGGATCTTTGCTACTTATTATATGATTGAAAGTGATCCATCAAGGGCCTCAAAAACATTTATTACTCATTAAAAAACTCATAAATTTATAAATCAGATTGAGGATTTGAGATCTCTATGATTAAGCTTAACTATCACAACCCTCCTGCAATTGTTTACCTAGCATTGGCAAGATATGCGTAGATGCCACTAATATTTGTTTTCTCTTCCACTATCCCCCTGGCAACAACAATCACAGTCCCCATTCCACATCCCTGCTTGCAGAAAATGAATTCCTGCCATCTTTCTTTCGTTATTTTTTTTTCTCTTACCCTAAGTTTTGCTGTCCATATGATTAAATATTAGCAACTTTTCGAATGTCCGAAACCACATTTAAAAGCTACCAATCCAATCATTTTTCATCAACTTTTGGCTGGTGCAAAAGGACAAGAATCACTTAGGACATAGGGTACAAGTCACAAATGGATAAAGCACCTTGATTATCTGACTAAGTTAAAGGGGGGTTTTTGTGTTAACAAATATAACTCCTGTACTGTATATACTTTTCCCTTATATACTCATGGATTTGACTTTGTCCCTCATTTAATTATGATCATGTTGAAATTGTTTAGCTTATCTCTCACAAGAGCATCCAATTGGCTGAAACTCTCTGAATCTATCCATTTACACTAGTCAACACCATGCTTATCGTTTTGAGCATATATAGTTAGGATCTTCATCAAACGTTCTTCAAGAAGAAGCTCTTTAATCTTTATGAAGCCATTCTAGTGCCTTTGCCATAGATGTGGCCTCCCTAGCTTCTTATTGTGACAGGAATAAATTGCAGCAGTATCAAGAAATTAATGCTATGAATTTTATACGTGCCTAGTAAAAATAAAATTAACAACTTGGCATTGACATGGACAACCTGCGTAAAGGTGATTTATTTACTGATAAGAACTATATAGTAATATAAATTGAATCAATTTTTCTTTTTTTTTTTAGTATCTAAACTTTTAAAAGAATCCGTTTATGGTTTTACCTTATCAAGTTTGGAGAAACTTGAGAGATAATGCATCTAACTGCAGCTAAGTCATGTTTCTTCTTCCATGCAAAAGGGACACGTTTACACATCAAAAATCGTTCTTGTAATCAATGCGGCAAACTGTACGAGATTAATAGAGGCATCTGTTGTGGATTTGTACGACCAAAGTAGAACCTGTTCAATTTGATGGGAGGAAAACAAATGTATTAATTAATTAGTCAACATTGGCTGTGGAATTTGCTAGTTTCAAAGGGAAAACTAGTATTGTTTCATTAACCAGTTATCATTTTAGGATGATTAAACTGGAGTACTGGTTGGCTGTAAGTAGATGGACTTGTTGGATGATTGAATTCATTTAGAGATTGATTGACCAGGTTATAAGCGCTTTACTAAGATATCATGTATAGTTTAAATCTTACAAATAAAAGAAACAGATTATGTATATTATTATGAGTTCTGATATTCCAATTTGTTTACTTGACTAAAATGACATTTTGTTAGTTAGAAGATTAGTGACAACTTAATTTTGTATAGTTTGCTCTCAATCTGGAGAGAAATGTGGATTTCTGTATGTTGTTTCTATTTCTTCTGGTATGAGTTTTCGGATTAAATCTTTTTAATTACTTCAAAAATACTTTTTGGCTCTCGTGAGCTTAGAAAATGTGATATTCATATACTGTTAATCATAAAGTTCACGATTAACTGCATAGAAGCACACAAGGTAGAGAACCCAAATTAAGTCCTCTCCTATCCTTGTACAAAAAACAATTATATATGATCTGGTTCATTTTTACCACAATAAATTGTTGATTCCATAAATGTTCCATGCAAAATTATTAGATTTATAAGTAAAGGATTATGTCCCATATTGATTCGAGAGACGGAGAAAAAACACTTAATATGTAAGTAAGAGTTTGGGGCCTAATAACTTAAGTTTTTAAATCAAAATTAAATTATTGACTTATATATTGGACTCTCTCGAGATGTTTCTTCTATAATAAAATGAAGTTATTATTGTTATCTCGCCCATTCTATCAAAAAAAAAAAGGAGAGAGAGAGAGAAAAGGTTATTATTGTTATTTCTTCACTGAAATGTACACATGACTGCATGCAAAGTAAAGACAAAGGAAAATAAGGTAAAAAAAGGAAAAAGAAAAAAACCGCACGCGCACACACACAAAAAGAAGAAAGATCTAATCAGAAACATTGTAGGGACAGAATCTTGAAATGACAACAATGAATTAAAATGAGCGTTGCGCGCAAATATTTGCTATACCCGATTTCAGCCGAAACGATGATGAACGGTGGTTCATCAAGAAAAGCAAACATGCACGACCAATATTCTGATCTTCTTCTCTAACAACATATCAATCCTGCCAAACCCTCCACTGAAAACCCAAGAATTGGGCCAAAAAACAAAATGACAAAAGATATAGAAAAGGATATTGTAGATAATCACGCATGGTGATGAGGATCTGGTCCACCAGGAGCCACTCGATCAATATCATTAAGTGACCTTCTTCTGTAATATTCAAGCTGTGAAGGGCTGAAGCCTATTCTCATCAGAAGAACTTGGCTGTCAGGTTTCAACTTTTCATGCATCGTGGAAATAGCCTCGTGATGATCAGCCACAAGAACCCGTGCTTCCAAATCACAAGTGAAGAAGCAAGCAAAGAGAATAATGATCATGAAGAAATACGGTAGGGCGGTTAACCTTGCAATGATAGAACAAGCCATGGAAAAATGGAGGGCGAAATATTATTGAGAACAAGACTAAGGAACCCTGATAGCTTGAGCTAACTGGAAGAAATGATATGTGCAGTGGTTAATTGGGTGGAAGATTAATCTGACAGCTCTGGCTACATATATAAGAACTCGGAAAGATTCATCAGGAGAGTAGGAGAGAAACGGAGAATAGTGGGGGAGAACATGTAGTTAAGAGGTACGATTATTTATTTAACCCACGTACCAATCCGACAAAACTCCTGCATCAGATTGTTCGTTTGCTCGAAAAAAATTGTAATCATTCGTACTGTGTTAATTGAAGAGCTTATCTTTTAATATTAATTTACAGGTAGATAGATTTTAGTCTCTCAAGAACTCCTACTAAAGTTCTTGATTGATTCAAAGTTTCAAACACTTTTATATGATTTGACGCTTACAAATTCGGATAAGCAAAGGTCCTAGGGAATGCTCAACTTAAAACTAGCTAGAGTTACTACTGATTACCATAATATTTGTTCCATCCCTTTATAAAAATTTAAGGACATATCCTCTTATGAGCATCAAGCATTGTGCAAAGTCCAAATTTAATCAAATGAACAATTTAGTGTTTAAGTTTATTTACTTATTTTTCACAAGTTTAATTAAAATTAGGGAAAATGATCTGTTTCATCTCTCACATTTTAAAAAAATATTCTTTTCATCCCTCACTTTTAAAACAAAGCAAATTCATCCCTAACATTTTAAAATTAAAACTATTACATCCCTGAATCCAACTATTACTATGAATCAAACCATCTAGTAACCCAATAATAAATTTCGAGGATAAAATTGATAGATCACTCGATCAACTCGATCATATTCACATGACATTTATTGAACCAAAAAAAAGGAAAAAATTAAAAATTATAACATAAACAGGCCATTTTTTTGACTTGGAATGGTAAGGTTTCTTACCGTTAGTATATACATTTACGAGTCTAGATGTATACCATACATAAAAGGTGGGTGTTTAAATTTAAATTGAAATGATGTGACAAGTATCTAGACTCGTCAGTATATACAATAACAATGTAGGAAAGATTAATCTTTTTTTATGTTATAATTTTTTTTTTATTTTTCCTTTTTGGATTCATTAAATTTCACATGAATATTAAGTTGAGTGAACCAAATGATATGCCACTAACTATATTCTCAAAATTTGTAATAGGATTGATGGGTAGTTAGATTCGGATTGAAAGTTGACTTCATGGATGTAATAGTTTCAGTTTTTTAATGTCAATGATGAATTTGTTTTATTTTAAAAGTGAGGGATGAAAAAAAATATTTTTGTAAAATGTGAGAGATGAAACAAACCATTTTCCCTTAAAATTATGCTTAAATGTGAACCGTTTATTCATTAAGTTGAACTAAAATGAGTTTTTATTATCAAACTGATTTAACAGTCTACATTTTTCATATGTGTTTATGCTAATCAAGTCCACTTTTGAATAGTCTAAATTTTTTACATATATCGATTTCAAAGTTAATACTAATCAAGTCGAGTCGAGTTTAATACTTTGACAGACAATAAATGTTGTTTATTTAACTTAATTAGTTAGCA